GCCAGGAAACAGAAAACAGTGCTTTTCAGGTAGAGTGTCTCACAACACATACATATAACATACGGGTGAGGATCACAAATTACTATGCCTTGTAGAAGGTTGCTGGGTTAGTACTACTCCTATTTTACACTGATTTATGTTGCAGCCGAGTGAGTGGTACTATGTCGTATAGTACATGCTCTCACACACATCCACATGGGCCACCAGGGGGATGTATTGATTTTTGCTCTGTGATGTAATTTTGGTTTACTCAGAGGAATTTTCCTAACGGTTGGAAAATGGAATTATCCCTAGGTTTCTTATTTTGGCATGTTTTTTGTCATTTCAATGCAAAAATGAGAAGATACATAGTCACAGATGCGTTATTATAGCATCATGCAAACAACTATCGAGTCTCTTAAGTCCACGTGTGGTTAGCTACACATGCTCGGAACAGGTGTGGCGTCATAACTTAAGTCCACGTTGCATGAAGATTAGCTACTTATTTGATTATGTCCATCTTCATATCCAGCACACAGAGGAGTTTGGTTTCAGAATTTTCTTCTCCCACTCCTACTGTTTTTAGCCTCTGGCAGATGGTGGCCTTGGTTCCAAACTTGAAGTATCTCAAGACCCAGGGATCTATTAGAGAACTACCAAGTCCACCGAGTAGGAGTGATCTCAGTTGCGGTGTCTCATATTCTCTAGTGATCTTTCACAAGCTCTGTTTGGTCTCATCCCATCTCTAAGTCTATGCCACTGGCTCATTTACCTTTATCATCCATGATCTATTTGATAGCAGGAGAAAAACTGTGTGTTGCGAGAAAGAGCTCCATTCTATTTGGGAGAAGATTGAGCAATAATGTGTATGAGCGCGCACAGACGGTTAATAAACAATCAATGTGCATGGTTGAATGTCGTGGAGCCCTTGAAATCAGCTACTCCCTCCGTTCACATTTATAAGACGTTTCAGACAGCCCACATTGCACTGTTTTGGGTGATGTCTAAATTGTCTACAAGGTCTTATAAAAATGAACAGAGGGAGTAGTACATTCGCCAAGAGAACTTCCGTGCGAGTGTTCGCTCATGCAAGCTATCCACGTCCTCCGATTGTCCTGGGATGGGCCATTGAAGTTGTTTAGGTGCCAGATGGACGGTCGATCGTGGCTCCAGCTGTGGCCCTCGAAAACCTCATCAAAACCCTGGAAAACATGGTAGCGACCCGCCAAGCCCCGAGGTGCACCATGGAGTGTCCGGTCTTTGTGTGCACTGCAGGTGCCATCACAAGGGCGGTTGTGACATGCGGCAGAGGGAGAGAGAGGCGCCACACACGGCACCACCCCCCCCTCCCCCACCCCACACACACCCCATGCTCACCATTTCGCCCCGTGCTCTCCTACTTCCTCCCTCTCCCTGTGTTGTTCCGCTTTCTGCAGCCATTCGGCCCCGTTCCTCGTGCTCGGCTCACCTCCTTCTCCTTCCCGGTGGATTTGTGGGCGAGGCTAAGAAAGTTGTCCTAGAGGCAGTGACCGTAGCAGATCGAGTGCGGTGGATCTGGAGGTGCCGGGAGGCATCTGAGAATGAGGGCGGATCGTCGGCCCCGAGCTTTGCACAACCAGGGTTGGAGGCTGCTCGTCGATCTTGAGCTCTGGAGGCTAAAATCAGAGCAGGAGCTGTCTGGCCCTGCGGCAACACGCACTCTCGAGATGAAGAGTAGGTACGCACACTCGCATCTTTCCCGCTCTGTCTCCTCCCCCTCTCGCTACGTTGATCACGGGGAGGCATCTGAGATCGAGGAGATGGGCAACTTTAGTTGTGGCTTGAGGGACGATGAGCAAGAGGAGGTAGCCAACTAAAGTATTAGATTCAGTTAAGTTTGATGAAGCACTTTTAGTTTCATCGATAATACCACGATTTGAGATCTGAATGCCCGTTTAGACGCAAGAGGTGTGCTCTCTCTCCGCCTTTTTGAGCGTTGGGCCTCACGCCCGGGGCCATCTTTGTTTTTTCGGATTTCTTTCTAGCTTGTGTTAGGGAACGTAGCATGCAATTTTGAAAAATTTCCTACAATCATGCAAGATCTATCTAGGAGATGCATAGCAACGAGAGGGGGAGAGTGTGTCCACGTACCCTCGTAGACCGAAAGCGGAAGCGTTAGTACAACACGGTTGATGTAGTCGAACGTCTTCGCGATTCAACCGATCTAGTACCGAAAGTACAGCACCTCCGAGTTCAACACACGTTCAGCTCGATGACATCCCTCAAACTCTTGACCCAGCAGAGGGTCGAGGGAGAGTTTCGTCAGCACGACGGCGTGGTGACGGTGATGGTGATGTGATCCGCACAGGGCTTCGCCTAAGCACTACGACGCTATGACCGGAGAAGTAAACTGTGGAGGGGGCACTACACACGGCTAGGAGAATAAGTGTTATGTTATGGGGTGCCCCCTGCCCCTGTATACAAAGGAGGAGGGGAGGAGGCCGGCCACAAGGGGCGCGCCATAGGGGGGAAACCGATTAGGACTCCCAATCCTAGTCGGCCCCCCTTTTCTTTCCATCGGAGGGGAAAAATGAAGGAGAGGGAGAGGGAGAGGGAAAGAGGAAAGGGGATCGCGCCCCCTCCCCTTTGTCCAATTCAGACTCCCTGGGGGGGGGGGCACCCTTGCGGGCTCCCCTCTCTCTCCCTATGGCGCATGAAGGCCCATTACTTCCCGGGGGGTTCCAGTAACCCCTCGGTACTCCGATAAATATCTGAAACGTCCCGAAACCATTCCGGTGTCTGAATACCTTCATCCAATATATCCATCTTTACCACTCAACTATTTCGAGACTCCTCGTCATGTCTGTATCTCATCCGGGACTCCGAACAAACTTCGGTCACCAAAACACATAACTCATAATACAAATCGTCATCGAACGTTAAGCGTACGTGCGGACCCTACGGGTTCGGGAACTATGTAGACATGACCGAGACACATCTCCGAACAATAGCCAACAGCGGAACCTGGATGCTCATATTGGTTCCTACATATTCTACGAAGATCTTTATCGGCCAAACTGCAATAACAACATACGTCATTCCCTTTGTCATCGGTATGTTACTTGCCCGAGATTCGATCGTTACTGGCAAGTCTCTTTACTCATTCCGTAATGCATCATCCCGTAGCTAACTCATTAGTCACATTGCTTGCAAGGCTTATAGTGATGTGCATTACCGAGAGGGCCCAGAGATACCTCTCCGATACACGGAGTGACAAATCCTAATCTTGATATATGTCAACCCAACAAACACCTTTAGAGACACCTGTAGAGCATCTTTATAATCACCCAGTTACGTTGTGACGTTTGATAGCACACAAGGTGTTCCTCCGGTATTCGGGAGTTGCATAATCTCATAATCAGAGAAATATGTATAAGTCATGAAGAAAGCAATATCAATAAAACTTAATGATCATTATGCTAACCTAACAGATGGGTCTTGTCCGTCACATCATTCTTCTAATGATGTGATCCCATTCATCAAATGACAACACATGTCTATGGTCAAGAAACTTAACCATCTTTAATTAACGAGCTAGTCTAGTAGAGGCATACTAGGAACACTTTGTTTTGTCTATGTATTCACACATGTATCAAGTTTCCGATGAATACAATTCTAGCATGAATAATAAACATTTATCATGATATAAGATAATATAAATAACAACTTTATTATTGCCTCTAGGGCATATTTCCTTCAGCTTGGTCACTGCATGCAAGATATCTCAACTGAGTTCCCCGTTTGTGGCATGTGCTAGAGGAGCAACCTATATATATTTTGAGAAACAATATGTACAACTTTGCTCCATCTACACCTAACCCCGCCAGCCTACCTTGAAAGCCGGATAAGCTCCTATTGACCCCACTTGCTAACCGAAGCCATTTGGTCGACTGGTCCACAAGTCACTAGTCCTTTATTAGAGTAATAATAAAGATACAATAGTATAATCATTTTAAAAATGATCAATTATGTATGTTTAATTGTAAACAATTGTATTGTTTACAATATTCAGGCTTGAACAAGAGTCATCTTGGCCTTTGCTGCGGCCTTCTCAAATCCTAGCCAAAAATTCGAGCTAGTCCATGGTATGATCAGGGCCCGCTCAAGGTTGATGGACATTTTGTGTTACTTATGCATCTCCATGTTCCAAGATCTATATTTGCACAATTCAGCCACATGTATGTGAGGCCATAGGCGTCTGCATAGAGCTCGTTCAATGCTTGTACCCAAAACCAGATTTAGGTTTCAACTCGAGATCTAACACTTAGTCTAAAAAGAACCTTGAGATTAGAATGCCAGAAGAAGAAGGTCATCATAGTAAATTGTTGAATGCATCTTACTATATTGTCTGCTGAATAATGTCATAAGTAGAGACAAATCATGTCATCACCCCCCGCGTGGGCGGCTGGGAGGCCCCCAGATCCCGTCGGCCGGCCCTCCCCCACTCCTTCTTCTCCTCCCTCGCCGCCGCCCAAGGGCGGGGCCAGGCGAAGCCTGGTCGTCGCCGGCGGCGGCGGGGACTCGGGCCCTCTCGCTCGCGTGGGGCTGGCGCGGGCCGGCGCCCTCGGGCCGGAGCGTGGCGGCGGGCCGGACGCCACGGCGGGTGGTGGCGGCGCCTCGGCGACTTCGCTCCCCCACGACAAGAGGCCTCGCGATCTGATGCGTCGCGGTCGCCAGGGACGGCGACGGCGTGACCGGATCGGTTCGCGGCGGCGCGGCCGGATCTATGCCCAAGCATGGGCCTTGATCGTTGGTCTGCCGTCGGCACGATGGCGGGTGCGACTCGTCGGCAGCTGGGCAGATCCGCCGGGATTCTACCCTTGTCTGATCCTTGACATAGCGGGCATCTCCGGGGGAAACCCTAGATCTCCTTGGGATCGAGCGATGACGACGATTTTGCATCGTAGTCCCTCTTTAGGGCATCGTTTTGGAGTTTACTCCGGTCGAAGGGACCAGCGACGTCGGTGGTGCACGTCTGGTGGAGCAACTCCCGATGAAAATCGCGCCGACTACGGTCATGGCGGACGATGACGGCGTCTTAGATGTCGTTCCCTTGTCGAGGCATCGTCGTTGCAGTCCGCGTCATCAGGCTCGGGATGCTCCAGGGGAAACCCTGTTGGGGAACGTAGCAGAAATTCAAAATTTTTCTACGTGTCACCAAGATCTATCTATGGAGAGACTAGCAACGAGGGGAAGGAGAGTGCATCTACATACCCTTGTAGATCGCTAAGCGGAAGCGTTCAAGTGAACGGGGTTGATGGAGTCGTACTCGTCGTGATTCAAATCACCGATGATCCTAGTGCCGAACGGACGGCACCTCTGCGTTCAACACACGTACAGCTCGACGATGTCTCCCACGCCTTGATCCAGCAAGGAGAGAGGGAGAGGTTGAGAAAGACTCCATCCAGCAGCAGCACAACGGCGTGGTGGTGATGGAGGAGCGTGGCAATCCTGCAGGGCTTCGCCAAGCACCTACGGGAGAGGAGGAGGTGTCACGGGAGGGAGGGAGGCGCCAAGGGCTCAGGTATGGATGCCCTCCCTCCCCTCCACTATATATAGGGGCAGGAGAGAGGGGGGAGGCGCAGCCTTGCCCCTTCCTCCAAGGAAGGGGTGCGGCTAAGAGGGGGGAAGGAGTCCATCCTCCCCAAGGCACCTCGGAGGTGCCTTCCCCCTTTAGGACTCTCCCCTTTTTCTTATATCTTGGCGCATG